CTTATCTCCCTCCGCCTGCCCTTTATTCTTACCCTTCTTCTCGCCTTCACTACGGCCACCCACTTTCGCCTTTGTCTTCTCTTCTTCCTCCGAACCAGCCCCTCTGCCAATCCCTCTGTCCGGCTGCCCACTCACCTTCCCCGCCCTAGTATCCGCGTCACTCCGCCCCTTCGCCTTATCCCCCTCACAGCCTTCTTTCCCCCTGTCCGATCCCTTCTCTCCTGCACTGCCATCACCGGCTTTCGCTGACCTTTTCAGAGCATCCAGCCGCATGGGATCAAACGCCAGCGCCCTAATCTGCAAAGCTGCCTGCAAACTCGTCTGTAAACTACCCTGCGCACTTGCCTGCGCACCCTCTTTCCTCTCGACCCGCTCCTGACCCACCTCCTGCATCCGCTTCTCCTCCTGCGTCCGCTTCTCCTCCTCGTCCTCCACCCCATGCAGCTCCTCCCAGCTCCGCGAATCGTCCGCCTCAACCATCACTCGCACTACTCCGCTCTCACCCTTCTTCTTCTTGCCTTTCTTCCCGCCACCGCCCTTCCCTGCGCCACTCTCACCACCCTCTGCCTGCTGCGCATGGCCCTTGCCTCCTGCTCTCAGCGCCCCCGTGTTCTCCTTCTCTCCTTCCCGGCCCTCCACGCAGTCCTCCATCGAAACCCGCTTCTTCGATTCCTCGTTTTTAACTGTCTCGCTATTTCTACACGCCTCGTCTTTCGCACCCTTTCTACCTTTCCCTTCCTTCCCACTCTTCTCGCTGCCCCCCTCCTTCGCGCCCTTCCTACTGCTGCTGGCAGCACTAGAGCTCGTGCTGGCATCACCGCACTCCACCCCTTCCATATCCTCAGACCGCGACGCTTTATGAGCATGCATCCCGTTCAAACCCTTCTTCGATCCGCTGCTGCTCGTTGCTGCTGCCCCGCCACCAGCAGCCCGACCTGCCACAGCAGACGCGTAGTCGTGCTCACCTGCTAACCCACCTGACGAACCACCTGATGCGGTACCTGACGCGAGCTGCGCGGGAGTGGGCGATTCCCTGCCTAGCGACGAAGTCTTCGCCTGGGCCGCGTGCCCCAGCACCACCAACCGGGACCTCTGCTTCGACGGCGATTGAGCTTTACCCCGTGCGCTACCCGATGCACCCGAACCACCAGCTGCGGAGCCTAACGAACCGGCCGCACCGGCTGCAGCGACACCAGCTGCTACTCTCTGCTGCGAACCGCCTAAACTAGCTCCAGGTGCTCCTGCTGCTACTGCTGCGGACGACGCTCTTGCAGGCCCCGAGGCGAGGGCTGCCGTTGCTGCTGTTCTGGCGACTGAGGCGGCGGAATTCGACGCTCCCGAGGGCTGGAAACCCACGGTGGTGGACGCTGCGGATCGCACAGGCGCCGCTTGCGACAGCAGGCTGGGCGGCGACTTGCGATGCGCCTGCTTGTCCTGCAACGACCCAAACCCTGTCCCCGCGCCCGCTGTGCTCTGCGCGGCGTTCACATGTGAGATCACCGGAGGGGAGTGTGCGCTGGCGTGGATTACCCGGCCACTGAGCACCGCTGCGGATGGTCTGAACAATTGTGGGCCGTTGGATGAGGACCATGACGAGGATGTCGTGGGCGTGGATGCAGGGATGGGTTTCGCTGCTGGGACGGATATCGCTGGCGAAACTGTGCTGGTGGTAACCGGTTTTGACGCGGAAAGGACGACTTTTCCTGCCCTCGAGCCCCTGTGACAGAAGGGAGTGCAAGAAAGATAGCGGGTGAGCGGGGAAACCGGCAGACACTCAGCGAAAGGCCCAAACACGGCGCGAAACCAGCACGCGCAGGTTGTTTCTAAGGGATCATACCACGAGGCGGCTGCGGGGAGCAGGCCTCCAGTCTTGGGCGCCGTTGACGGGCCCAGCGTGAACACCTTGGCTGTCGTCGCCGGGTGGCTCGCTGACGGCACAGCCGAGCTCTGCACACATGCGCAGAGAGACAAGGTTCAGACCAGTGCCAGGCCACTTTAACTGCATGCGCTTTAAGGGGACTTGGGTTCAAAACGAGGTACGAGCCTTGGCAGCCCCAACTGACCTTCTCCAACTGCGTGTCAAGCGACGGCGGCAGCCCGTTGGCGGCACGGCGATTGACAGCATGCGACGGGTCGAAGTACGGAGGGGGGTGCTTGCTGCGCGGGGCACACGCGCAAAAGAGACACAACGACGGTGCGTGAGGGGGCATCAAGACCGCAACACATGCTGAACCAAATGCATCATACATCGGAGACTCACCTGATCCCATGCCTCTGCACCATCTCCTCCTTAGTGTAACTGTCTTCTTGCGTCCCAAACTCGTGGAGGTACAAACAATCCGGGTTGTTGCAGATCTGCCACAATGGAAACCCAACGCAGAGGTGAGTCAACTTGACCCCTTCCACACCACCCCACACCGCTCCAGGCACCTTCACACCACACCAGACCCTCCTGCAGCGTCGCAGCCAGCATATGCCATACCTTACAATAACCCTAATTCAGAGACTAAACCTACCAGATTCTTCAGCCAGGCGTTGCAGTATTTGGTAGTGCCAAAACACGCCCTGCAAAAACCATTCCAAAGAAACGATCAGAACAACGTCTGCGACAGTTCCAACAGCCGGAGACACCAGGGAGGGGATGAGTTCAACGTATTCACATGGGCAGCGAACGCACCTCAGAGTTCGGTTCTCGAAGAGGCATCCGTCAACGGCCTGGATGCAGCGAAGAGCGTCCTCCTCCCTCAGATACGTCACGTACCTGCCCCCACGGAGAACGAGCACACCATACCATACGACGGATTAGCAAACGAGCAAGTACAGTGGAGTGAAGAGACTGACGGTTTCAGTCACGTACACGTTAGCGGAGGGAGGATGGATGGAGCCACCGAAAGAGGAGTTCGAGCGAGAGACGGCCACTTTGACGACCTTGCCGTACTGGCCGAAGTAGTCACGCCGCTCGAGAGTCTGCGCGGGAGAGCGAGGGAGAGCGAGAAAGAAATCAGGGACAGCGTCCGCAGCTGACGTTCCAAAAGCTTACACCGACGCGATTCTACGGGCGAACATTGAGCGTATCGAGGAGAGCAGAAGCAGCCTCTGGTACGACTCAGCCACGCTCGTGCTGCGAAAGGACAGCGGAATCCGATGACGTAGACGAGGTTCTTCTGAACCACGAGCACGTTTTGAGGCCTAAAAAGAAAAGACGAAGCCTCAGGCCCGGCTGACTGACCTCTTCGTCGGCGACGGAGAGCGGAATCCCGACGACGTAGACAAGGTTCTTCTGAACCACGCGCACGTTGCTCAGATGCCGCCGCCCCTCCGCCGTCGCGTACGCGCTCCTCGGCCGGGATTTCGTCTTGGATCGTTTCTCCGACTCCGTGAAACTGCACCACGAGCCACGAATTGTGAATCATAACGTGTCCGTTGCTGCATCTTTCTAGGAACCTGGCGAGAAAACAATCTCCGCGTGATGCCGATGCGATGAGAGGGAGGGAAGAAGCACGGCGACTTACTCGTCGAGATCGGGACCGTTGGAAGCGACCTTGTCTTTGCTGTAGGGCGACCGGCAGGCTGGACAGCGAGGTTCTAGATGGTCCTTATTGGCCATCTCCATGATGTGGTGCCAGCACCACAGACAAATCTGCGAATCACCATCGCAAGCAACAGATAAGACGGATTAAAATTTCCAGCAAATTAGGTTTCTACTCACGCCTGAAATCCCTCAACTGCTTTGAATAATGGGCAGTTATATGTGCGGAACCTACAGGACCATCCTACAAGCAATCTTAAGCAGACTGAAGAGAGCGGGAAGCACCTGATAGCCGCACTGGCACGGCTGGAACTTCCTGTCTGTCGAATCCATCTCCTCCATACACAAGGGACACGTGTAATCCGTGTCGTCTGAGAAATCCATGGCGAATCTACTCAAATAAAACACTACAAAATTGGGTTCTCTAAGAACTAAAACAACGCAAGCTTGCTCTGGCAAAAAAATAGGCAGGCTTAGGCGAGGAGATTAAAGACGGAGATTAGGTTTCACGTAGCTAGCAGGTTTGAGTCAAGACTGAACGAAGGGTTTCAGCAGGTTTGAGCAAAGCCCAAGGCAATTCGGGCCTATTGGTGGGCGGTGGATCAGGCAAGGAGGGGAGGGGAGGGAAGGAAAGGGGAAGTACAGAATGCCATGCCATGGCGCCGGTCTGGGGGAGTGCGGTAGCAGCAGGGAGGCGGGTCTGGAGACTCTGGAGAGCGCGGGAGAATTCTGGTCAGAAAGGGAGGTTGGTTGGGAGGACCAGGCTCGGCGCTGGTTTGGCCGCGACAAGTTTGGCTCAGAAGGGATGCCCAGATGTGGCCGAGGTTCGGCTCGGCAAATCGTGGAACGGGGGGGGTTCTTGGGAACATCAGCTTTCTTGTCATTCGTGCACGGTCGTCGGCACGCCCTAACAATTTTTCGTCAGTCGCTCGCTGCTCGGCGTCGTCCATGCACCAGTGTCGAGGTTTTCACGAAAACGCCCACATGCTGGTTACTCGTCGCAAGTTCTCGTGTCGATTTTCCCATTCTGCCCTGAAAACTCCTGACCCCATGGTTCCCCCCATACCCCAACCATGACCCTCCAGCCAGTCAGCCCATTGCCCAATGCCCATTGCCCCCTACCCAACCACGCCAGGTGCATCCATCCCTCACGCATCCTTCCTTCTGCCATCCGTCCGTCCAATCACGGACCAGAAAGGCAACGTTGTGCCACACAGCGGGGTGCCGCGGAACAGTTTTCGTTGTGGCTGGGCGAAGAAGAAAGTTACACCAACGTAACGGTTCTTACAATCTAGGCGAGTTCGGCTATATCCTAGATTGTTCTTTCATAGCAGAATCCATCACATCACACCTAGATTTTCTCGTGGTGTTGCTGGTTACTCCCTGCTGTCACGCACATCCCCTCCCTACGCGTTGCACTTCACACTTCCCCCAGCATGACCATCTGCTCATGAAGCTAGCGTGATACGTCGTCCACTTCCGTCGTAACACATTCTGGATAGTATCTTATCATGGCCGCCTAGGTAAAGCGGAACGCCATGCCGTTCAAAGCAGCGTCGACGGATGGCCCCGTTTGCTGCCTGTGCGGGGGCAACAGGCACGGCGAGCCGCCTCCCGACGTAGTCCGGCGAATCACGTACCACGACAGGTCGTCGCGCCCCAGGGAGGCTTCCAGCGCAGCGGGAGCATTCCGGCTTGCAATCTCTGGAAAGGCGCGGAACGGCGGAGATCGCAGACGAGCGGAGGGGCGGAGCGAGCAGGAGGATGGCGGAGGAAGCGGAAAGGGAGCGGCGAGGGGAGCCGGGGCGGAACACGCCGCGGAGGGGGAGTCGCGCGAGATGCGGTGGCCGCCAATGCGGCCAGATCCGCACTTCGCGGACGTGCGCGGGTGGCTGGGGCCGCTGCTGGGGCCGGTGGCGGAGAGAAGCGGCGCTGCTGGCGCGTGGGTGCACCGCGAATGCGCCGTCTGGAGCCCCGAGGTGTGCCGCTGCCATGCTGCTGCCATGCTGTTGCCATGCTGCTGCCATGCTGCTGCCATGCTGCTGCCATGCTGCTGCCAGAACGAGCAACCAGCTCAAGAACGCGCCTGCACTGTGCGGCGGGGGCCGCTGCCTCTGAGGCTTATTGAAATCCCCCGCACCCACTCCACCCCCCACCACCCTCTCTTCGCCCTCTCTTCAACCCCTACTCCTCAGCTGTTCTTCTGTGCCGCCAACCAGCTGAAGAACGTGCCTGCAGCCGTGCGGCGGGTGCGGCTGCAGCGTCTTAAACACCCCTTCCTTCCCACCCCCCTCCCTTTAGGTGTTCTTCTGCGCCGCCAACCAGCTGAAGAACGTGCCTGCAGCCGTGCGGCGGGGGCGGCTGCTCAAGTGCAGCCGATGCGGACGCAGTGGGGCGAATATCGGGTGCAGGGAGGAGCGGTGCCCGCACACGTACCACCTGGTGAGTGCACACTGGTTGCTTGACTACACCTTTGAGGCGCCTCGGAAGTCTTCTTCGCCTCATATGTTGAGGCAAGAGAACACCGGGTGGCGGGAGGAGAGGTGTCGGCACACGTACCACGTGGTGAGATGGGATGAGAGGCTATGCTTGGGAAATCACGGTTGGTTCTCCTTGGCTTTACCTTGCTCTTCCTCCCTTTCTAATTTCTTCCTCCCTTTCTAATTTCTTCCTCCCTTGCTCGCTTCCTCCCCCCTTCACACATCCCCTCCGCTTCCCCCTTCCCCCCTGTCTCCCCCCCCCCTCCACCAGCCCTGTGCACGCTACGACGACTGTTTCTTCGACCACAATGATTTTCTCATCTCCTGCCCGCTCCACACGCGCTCCCTCATGCTGCGTCGCCACGGCTCCCACCTGCCCGAATTCAACGCCTTTTTCGGGCAGCCCGCGGGCAGGCTGTCCGGGCAGATGGTCGGGCTCTTGGCGGCTGCCCGAGAAGCTGCCCAGAGGGACGAGGAGGAGGAGGCGCGGTGGGAGGAGGAGGGGGGGAGTGAGGAGGACGATGAGGATGAGGAGTTTCAGGCCAAGGAGCGCAGGAGGCGAGTCAGGGACCTCGCTAGGGTCCAGCCCGTTCGGCTGGGGGGAGCGGTGACGTGGCGTGCAGGTGCGGGTGCTGCTGCCAGGTCACTGGCCACGGCAGCTGGTGCTGGTTCTGATCCGGTTGCTGGGAGTGGGAGGGGGTCACGGGTTGAACCAGGGGGAGGGTGGGGAGAGGCTGGAGCAGGAGCAGGAGCAGGAGCAGTAGGGGAAGAAGGAAATAGCTCTAGGTTGACGAGTGTTTTTCACACTGACCGTGACTATGCTGAGCGTGATAATGTGAATAGTGAGGCGCGGCCAGATGCACTGGCTGACAACACGAATGATCCAGTGCCAAGGCATGGCGCCCCCAGTGGCAGCGCTGACGTGGCAGGATCTGGTTGGGTGATGGTGCGGTTTGGGGGGCCGGACGCAGGAGGGCTAGGAGGAGAGGAGGCAGGAGCGGGGGAAGGTTTGGCGGCTGTGATCGGCCCCGAGACTCCGCTGGAGGCCCTGTTGGCAGGGCGGGGGGAGGGGGAGGTTGGTCGAGGGGAGGGGGTTCTGGGGGAGGGGTTTGAGGGGTTGGGTAGGGGATGGGAAAGAGAGGAGATGGGGAGGAAGAGAGGAAGAGAGGGAGCGGAGGGGGCATCACACTCGAAATTTTCGGGTCCAGGAGTGTGCGTGAGGGAGGGGAGTGATGAGGCTGCAATAGGGGGGGTGAGAGAGGGGGCGAGTGAAGGGATGTGTGAGGGAGTGAGGAAGGGAGTGAGTGAGGGAGTGAGTGAGGGAGTGAGTGAGGAGTCGGGGTGGGCAGCAGACGGCAGTGATGGGTGTGATGGGGAGGGGGAGATGGCAGCAAAGAGAGCCAGGGTTGCAGCAGACTCGGAGATTCCGGAAGGAGAGAGAACAGAGAAACCGGCAGCAACTGCCCGGGGGGATTCTAGGGTCAGGGCTGCTGCAGACTTGGAGATAGTTCCTGGAGGCGAAGGCGAACAATCAGGAGTGACTGCCGGGGGGGACAGTTGGGACGCGAGAGCTAGAGCAACAGGAGCAGCAGCAGAAGGAGCAGCAGCAACAGCAGCAGCCGCTGGGTCAGCAGGACGAGTGAGAGACGCCGTGGAGAGCGGCACCCAGACAGCATCACCTGACGCACTAGATCCTGCAAACGCGACAGAAACCGCCAAGGCGCCACTGTCTACACCAGCAGCACCTGCACCAGCAGAAGCAAAAGCAGCAGCAGCACCAGCAGAAGCAGTAGCAGAAGCAGCAGAAGCAGCAGCAGCAGCAGCAGCAGCAGAAGGAGCACCAGCAGAAGCAGTAGCAGCAGCAGCAGAAGCAGCACCAGCTGCTTCCCTGGCCCCTTCCACCCAGCCCCCCAGCACCCCCCCTCCTGTCCCCCCCACCTCCGCCTTCCCTCCCTGGTCCGCCATAGGCGGGCTCCGCCCCGTCATCCTCTCCCTCACAGAGCTCGTCCTGCTGCCCCTGCGCTACCCAGCCCTCTTCCCCTCACTCGGGATCGCACCCCCACGCGGCGTGCTCTTGCACGGGCTGCCGGGCACCGGGAAGACCCTTGTCGTGAGGGCGCTGGCAGGGGCGTGCGCGCGGGGGGAGCGGGAAGTGGCGTTTTTCGCGCGGCACGGGGCGGATTGCCTGGGGAAGTACGTGGGGGACGCGGAGAAGCATCTGCGGCTGCTGTTTGAAGTTGCGAAGCAACGACAGCCGTCGATTATCTTCTTCGATGAGCTGGATGGGCTCGCACCAGCGCGGGGCCCGAACCAGGACCCGACTCACAGCTCGGTGGTGGCCACTCTCCTGGCGTTGCTAGACGGGTTGGATTCGAGGGGGGCGGTTACCGTGATTGCAGCCACCAATAGGATTGATGCGATTGATCCTGCCCTGCGCCGCCCGGGCAGGTTCGACCGTGAAATTTTCTTTCCGCTGCCCGGGGTCAAGGACCGGAAGGCTATTTTGAAAGCGATAACACGAGGGTGGGGGGCAGGGGTGGCACCTTCTGGGAAAGTTCTTGAGGAGTTGGCGGGGAGGAGTGAGGGTTTTGCAGGGGCAGATCTCCGAGCAGTCTGCAACGATGCGCTGATGGCTGCCCTGAGAAAAAAATTTCCCATGGAGACGGCTTTGGCACTCGATGCGCTGCCCGGGGCTGAAGCGTTCGGTTCTGGGCAGCCCCAAATGCCCGCAGCGGGAACACCCTCTTGTCCACGTGGCACAAACTCATTGGTGCAAGCGAAGATGTATCGTCTGCCTATCCCTGAGATCCAGGTGGATGCACAGGATTGGCTGGCAGCGTTGCAGCGCGCACAGGTGCCTTGTGCCCTCCGAACCGCAGCAGCCAGCTTCGGCAAATTAGGTCTGGCCACCGTGCCTCGGTATCTGTTACCAATCCTGGCCCCTGCTTTGGTTCGGCTGGTCCGATCACTGGCTGAGACTGCAGGGGTTGGGGACGTTATGCGAGATGGGATGAACGGTTGGGATGGGTGGAAGGTGGTGGGGAGAGGAGGAGAGAGTAGTGAAGGGGGTGAGGAGTGGATGGTGGGAAGAGCTTTGGAGGTGCTTGGGTGGGTAGAGAGGGGAGGGATGGAGAAGGGGAGGGATGTGGATGGCAAGAGAGGGGACGTAGGATGTGTGGGAGGGGACAAAGGGATTCGCCCGCAGGATGATGGTCTCGAGGAGGGGGGGTTGGTGGGGGAGGAAGAAGAAGAGGAAGACGGGGAGGAGGGTGATTTACCATTAGGTCTGTGGAGTTGGGATCAGGAGCAGGAAGCAGAGGGAGGGGGGCAGTTGGGGCAGCGAGCCATGGGGGCGAGGGAGTGGGAGCGGGAATCAGCAGCAGGAAGGCAGTGGGAGGGCCAGGAGCAGGGGCAGGGGCGGAGGGTGCTGGTGTGTGGCAGCGGCGAGCAGGGCCAGGTGCATGTGGCTCTCATTGCCGCCAAGCTGCTGAGTCGTGGGGGCAGGCAGGCATTCGCAGAGGCGTGCAGAACGGTGCTGCTGGGGGATGGGGCGAGGGGGGCAGAGGCAGCAGCGGGGGAGGTGTGGGGGGAAGGGGGATGCACACGGACTGGTGAGAGGTGGGAAGACGGAGAGAGAAGCAGGTCAGAGGAGGGGAGGAGGAACAGGGAGGCAAGGAGGGGCGGCGGAGGGGAGGAGGCGGTGGTGGTGGTGGTGGATGTACCCGCCATGGTGCTGTTGGGCCATGGGGACCTGGCTGCTGGCATGCGCGTCCTCATAGGTTAGTCAGTGCTCCTCCCATGCTTCTCGTACTTGGCTGCCAGGCATGGGGATATAGCTGCAGACTGCCCGCCCCTCGTACTTTCCTTGTCGTACTTTCCCATCTGTCCCACATGCTCCCATCCGCCCCCCTGCCCCCATCCGCCCCCCGTGCCCCCATCCGTCCCACATGCTCCCATCCGCCCCCCTGCCCCCATCCGTCCCACATGCTCCCATCCGCCCCCCTGCCCCCATCCGTCCCACATGCTCCCATCCGCCCCCCTGCCCCCATCCGCCCCCCTGCCCCCATCCGTCCCACATGCTCCCATCCGCCCCCCTGCCCCATCCGTCCCACATGCTCCCATCCGCCCCCCTGCCCCCATCCGTCCCACATGCTCCCATCCGCCCCCCTGCCCCCATCCGTCCCACATGCTCCCATCCGCCCCCCTGCCCCCATCCGTCCCACATGCTCCCATCCGCCCCCCTGCCCCCATCCGTCCCACATGCTCCCATCCGCCCCCTGCCCCCATCCGCCCCCCTGCCCCCATCCGTCCCACATGCTCCCATCCGCCCCCCTGCCCCCATCCGTCCCACATGCTCCCATCCGCCCCCCTGCCCCCATCCGCCCCCCTGCCCCCATCCGTCCCACATGCTCCCATCCGCCCCCCTGCCCCCATCCGTCCCACATGCTCCCATCCGCCCCCCTGCCCCCATCCGTCCCACATGCTCCCATCCGCCCCCTGCCCCCATCCGCCCCCTGCCCCCATCCGTCCCACATGCTCCCATCCGCCCCCCTGCCCCCATCCGTCCCACATGCTCCCATCCGCCCCCCTGCCCCCATCCGTCCCACATGCTCCCATCCCCCCCTGCCCCCATCCGTCCCACATGCTCCCATCCGCCCCCCTGCCCCAATCCGTCCCACATGCTCCCATCCGCCCCCCTGCCCCCATCCGCCCACATGCTCCCATCCGCCCCCTGCCCCATCCGCCCCCTGCCCCCATCCGTCCCACATGCTCCCATCCGCCCCCCTGCCCCCATCCGTCCCACATGCTCCCATCCGCCCCCCTGCCCCCATCTGCCCCATTTGCCTCTTTTTGTTTTTCAGAGCAAGCTCGGTCCATGGCTCCCTGCGTGCTGCTGCTGCCACGTGTCAACACCTGGGTGGTGGAGGGGTGGAGGGACGGGACAGACAGGATAGGGGATGAGGAGGAGGATAGTGAGGAGGGTAGTGAGGAGGAAGGGGAGGAGGAGGGGGAGGAGGAGGATGAGATGAGGGAGAGTGAGGAAGGGACGAGTGAAGAGGGGGAAGAAGAGGAGGGGGAGGAGCAGGAGGGTGGAGGAAGAGGGAGCGGGGGAGGAGGAGGGGTGTCAGGGGAGTGGGCGGTGTTTGAGCAGCTGAGTGCCATGCTGGACTCTCAGCTTGCTTCCTCGGCATCTCTGCTGCTGCCATCCTCTTGTGTCGGCGCTGCTTGCATTCATGTTGTGGTGAGTCCAGTTGTGTGTGCCATGCCAAGCCATGCCATGCCATGCCATGCCATGCCATGCCATGCCATGCCGTGCCATGCCATGCCATGCCATGCCATGCCGTGCCATGCCATGCCATGCCATGCCGTGCCATATTTTCGCGCTCCATGCCCCCCCCATCCTGCCTGCAATCCTGCTCTCTGCGCGCCCCCCCCTTCGTCTCTCCCTCCTTCCCTACCCCGTCTCAATTGTTCCCTTCGCTGTTCTCCTTTGTCCTCAACTCAGGCCACCTCTGAGGTCCCTCTGTTCGCCCTTCCGCCTCGAGTGCGGCGATTCTTCCTGCCCCCCTCCTCCTCTCCGCCCTCCCTCCATCCCTCCACCTGCCGCATCTCGCATCCATCCGGGTTTCCCACTCCCTTTACTGGCTGTGAGGGCAATGTTGACGGTCAAGAGGAGGGTGGAGAAGGACAGGAGCAGGGCGAAGGGGAGGGAGATAAGGAGGGGGGCGAGGAGGGAGGTGTGGCAGGGGAGAGGCACGTGCGGGACGTGAGTGGGAGTGGACGAATGGTGTTAAGTCTCCACTCTCTCCTTTCCTGCTGCTTGCAGCAATCTCTAAGGTTAGATGGGCTTGGCTGCAAGGGAGGGCGTAGAGGGAAGAGGAATGATAGAGAGGAGGAAGATGGGGAAGGAAAGGGGAATGGAGATGGGGGGCCTGTTCAGAGTGCGAGGGAGAAAGGAGTTGAGGGCGAGGGGGCTGGGGAAGAGGAGAAGGAAGAAGGAGAGGAAGTTCAGTGTGGGGAGGAGGCATGGCAGGAGAAGGGCAATGTGGCAGGCAAATCAGGCGACGAGCCCTCACTGGCTGGGCGGTGGAGGGCGTCAGTGGGCATGGCTGCACGGCAACTAGCATGGGAGGTGTGCGAAGCGGTGGGGAGAGGCGAGGGGGAGGGAGGAAGGGGCAGCGAAGGGGATTTGGGAAGGAAGGGGAAAAGGGGGAGGGCTGGGGAGCATGAGGGGGAGGGAGTTGGGAAGCGAAGGAGAGTGGAAGGAGGAAGTGCAGATGGGGCGGGTGGTGGAGTGGATGGGAGGGGTGGGATGGAGGCAGGAGGGCGCATCTTCACCCCGGATGGGCAGCGGCAGCCGCAGCAGCAGCAGGAGCAGCAGGAGAAGCTGCAGCAGGAGCAGCAGCAGGAAGCTCAACGAGGGCACCAGCAGCAGCAGCAGCAGCAGCAGCAAGCACCAACTGTGTGGCGGACCGAGCAGGAGCGGCAGCTGCTGGGAGGGCTGGCCTGGTGCGGGCTGTATCTGCTGCGCCACCCTTCCCTCAAGCCCCTCCGGCGCCTCACATCCTCCCTGCCACGTGCCCCCCGGTTCCTCTTTCTCAAAGCGGCCCAAGGGAAGGGGGTCAGGGGAGGGGTTGGCGATGGGAGGGGAGGTCGGATGGAGAAGAGGGGAGGGCAGAGAGGGGAGCGGAGAGGGGGGAGGGGGGAGGCGGGGAGGGGGGATGGAGGTCGGGGGAGGAGGGAGGGGCGATTGGCGAGTTGGGCGCGGGTGGAACAGCCGACTAGGATGAGTAGTAGGCTGAGGGAAAGGGAGAGGGAGAGGAGGAGGTTGGAGAGGGAGCAGCGGAGAGAGGAGAGGGAGAGGAGGTCCGGGGAGTGGGAGAGGAGGAGGGGGAGGGTGAGGCGGCGACGAGAGAGCGAGGGAGGGACGGGGGGTGCAAGGACGAGGGAGGAGAGTTGGATGCGTGGTGCAGGAAAGAGTGGCTCTCATCTGGCAAGTGGTGGCCGTCGCCTCTCGTTCCGGGACAGAAGAAGCACAGGATTAGGAGTAGGAGTAGGAGTAGGAGGGGGAAGAGGAGGAAGGGGAGGGAGGGGAGGAAGGGGAGGTGGTGGCGAGGGGGGGGGAGGGAGGGCGGGCAGGAGGGAGCAGCGGGGGCTGGCAGCTGTGGCTCTGAGGCTCGTTCACGGGTTGGTGCGGCACCCCCTGGAGATGCTGCACCAGGTGTGGGGCGTCTGTGAGTCGGCTCGAAGGGCCGTGAGGCGAGAGGCTGAGAGGGTGGCAGGGTGGGCGATGGGCTCTCACTCATGGCCGCCGTCTCACTCTCACTCTCACTCTCTCAGAAGCTCACGTGGGCACCTTGTGCCGCTGCCTAGTGCCGACTTACCGTTTTCCCGCAGCACAGGAGGGAGCATTGCGCCATCTGCAGAGCATGTGTGGGCGGTGCAGCGGGTGTGCAGCGTGGAGCGGCAGGTCAGTGCGCTGGAAGACACGGTGGCATCGTGGGTGCACCTCATGGCTCCCCTGCACGCCGCTGCTGCTGCCTCCACTGCCCACCTGCCGCCCCTCCCCCCGCCCCATCAGCCAACCCCTCAGCCGTCCCCACACCAGTCCAAAGCCCGCCGGCCCTTGTGCCCTAACGAGCATCGACAGCAGCAGCCGAAGCAGTCTACTCCATCCTCTACCCGACCCGCCTTCCCTCCTACACCTCCTCCCTCTGCGGTGCCGCCCAGTCGTGCTTCTACCGCCCCTTCCCCCTTCCTCATCTTCCCCTCCCCTTCAGAAACCGACCTCAACCACGGCAACTCACCCCCTTCGCCCGTCTCTCCCTCCGCCCTCTCCAGCCCGGCGCTGCTGCTGCCGCCCGTGTCAACGCCTGGCAACTACCCCATCATCCTCGCTCTCCCTGCCCCTTCCCCTCTGCCACTCACCCCTTCTCCTGCTGCCCTCTCCCCCCGAGCCTTCTCCACGCTCCTAGGCGGGGTTCAGCTCCCTGCTCCCTCTGCCCCACCTTCATTCTCCAGCTCTCCTCCTCTGCCCGCTGCTGCTGCTGCTCCAGCTGCTTCTGCTCCTGCTGCTCCTGCTGCTCCTGCTGCTCCTGCTGCTCCAGCTGCGTCTGCTCCAGCTGCTCCTGCTGGCGTTCCGCCGTCTGCTTCCCCTGCAGTGACGGGCCTTGACGTGCTGAGGCGAGCTGGCAATGTGCGGCAGAGGGAAAAAGGGGGTGAGGGAGGAACTCCTGGGCGTGGAGAGAGTGGGAGAGAGGAGAGGAGGGGGAGTGAGGAGGCAGGTGGTGTGGTGCCGGTGACTGAAGGTGCAGTTGGAAGCCATGGGACTGGGTTGAGACGAGGAGAGAGTGCAGGAGAGGAGGCAGGAGGGGAGGCAGGAGGGGAGGCAGGAGAGGGGAGTGAAGGAGGGGGAAGAGTGGGTGGTTTGGGAGAGCTTGGTAAGCCAGCAGTGACACTTGAGTCAACGCAGCAGTCAGCTGTGAGTAGTGCAGCAGCAGTTGGCCACGTGGCAATGCTGGCTGCTGCTAGAGGGGGAGGGGGCATGGCGGTGGGATTGGCAGGGGAGGGCAGGGAGGCAGGAGAGGGCAGGGAGGCAGGAGAGGGGAGGGAGGCAGGAGAGGGCAGGGAGGCGGGAGAGGGCAGGGAGGCGGGAGAGGGCAGGGAGGTAGGAGTGGGCAGGGAGGCAGGAGAGGGCAGGGAGGCAGGAGAGGGCAGGGAGGCGGGAGTGGGCAGGGAGGCAGGAGTGGGCAGGGAGGCAGGAGTGGGCAGGGAGGCAGGAGTGGGCAGGGAGGCAGGAGTGGGGAGGGAGGCAGGAGAGGGCAGGGAGGCAGGAGAGGGCAGGGAGGCAGGAGTGGTAGGGAAGAGGGTGATGATGGTGGGAGGCACAGATGAGAAGAAAGGAGGAGGGGAGAACGAGGGGGTGGTGAGCAGTGGTAGTGCTGGTTGTGTTGCTGGCGCTGGTGCTTTTGGTGGTAGTGCTGGTGCTGGAGAGGGCACGGTTGGTGGTGATGGGATGCCAGGCATGGTAGTAGTAAGGGGGGATAGGGAAGGGCAAGGCACGGGGGGTAACCAGGAGGAGGAAAGGGGCGGAGGAGGAGGAGGTGGCAACGATGGAAGCTGGGGGGGTGTGGGTGCAGGGCGGGGCAGGGAGGAGGCACAGCCACCTGAGAGGAAGGGAGCAGGGGGCACGAGGGAGCAGAAGGAAGGTGCGAGCAGAGGAGGGGCCATGGGGACGGAGCGAGAGGCAAGGGGTGAAGGCGAGGGCGAAGGTGCGGCCGTGTGCTGTCGCGGGGATGGCAGTGAGACTCCCCTTGGCCACCACAGCAGGGCTGGGCTGGGCACTGGGGCTGGGCTGGACGATGGGGCTGGGCTGGGCGCTCCCACTCACATACCTGTCGACCGCAAAGCCCTGTCCAAGAGACCTCCTCCGCGCCCCCCCCTCCGCCCTCCCCCTGCGTGCTTCCAGTTCCTCTGCGCCGCTCTCGAGCGCTGCCTCACTCACCTGCTGCTGCTGCAAGCCCTACCACCACTCTCCCACCTGCTCCAGCTGCAGCACCAGCAGCACCAGCAGCAGCAGCAGCACCAGAAGCAGCACCAGCAGCAGCACCACCACCACCACCACCAGCACAGGCACCAGCACCAACAGCAGCAGCAGCAGCAGCAGCGCCCTCCATACAATCACACATGCACCAGCGCATGCAGACACCATCCAGTGCTCCCGCTATTGTCACCCTGCATGGCTGCACCAATTACGTGCAGCCAGCTGGAGCGGTCAGTGGGCCAGCTGGCGTGCATGGCAAGAGCAGCTGTGGGACGAGAGCAGCGCAGTGATGCCCTTGGTGCTGCTTATAGCCATGGTGGTGCTGCTGCTGTATGTTCTGCTCCTGGTAGTGCTGGTGGTACTGGTGGTGCTGGTGGTGCTGGTGGTGCTGGTGTTCTTGCGGTCACCGGTGCTGCCCCATGTGCCCATGGTCCTGACGGGCTGTGCTTGGAGCAAGTCGCCTGTGCCATACAGCAGAGCGTGCTGTCGCTGACTTCAGCACTGCATGGTAATGATGCTGTGCTGATGTCAGCAGAGCTTGGGCAGTGGGCACACACAAATGGGTGAGAGCATGGCTTGGTGACCACACATGGATGGATTCAGAGCTGAGCACGCCTGTCTGTGACCCTCCTGGCTCTGCTCTATTTGTGCTTTACCTGCAAACAATTGTATTGTCCTATTTCGCACTCTGTCCTCTGTGCATATCAACACCCCTGTGCATTTATAATCGATCCTTTTGTGCATAGCTGATAGTTTATGGTGCTCCAGCACGCCTACATATGCTCTCGATTTTGTTTCAGAACACCCTGTGCCTTGAGCTCCATACAAGCCGCACCGTGCCATGTCATGTCATGACTCATCATGCTTGAAATGCCAATCCCACATTGAAATAGCCACTTATTGTTAAGAAGAATGCACATAAAGTAAGCAACGGATTTGACACACCCTAGATTTAGATTAGCTTCTTCGAGAAACCTACATCTATAAGGACATAGTAAGTCCACCATATTTAATAATTCCAGACCTCTATATTTTCTCACCCTTCACCCACCATCGAATCATAGTTTCTGGTGGTGTCTGCGCTTCGATGATTTCCCGCCTTCGACACGCGTAGACATTGGCCACGTCATCATGCTTGCCGCTTCCTAGCCCGGAAATTGACGTCTGACGTTCAGCAGAACCCTGCTCTGTTTGCCAGCGTCAGTTCCTCTGTTTTCCTGCCCATGCCAGCGACTCGACGGCAATCTCTGTTGATCTGTTTGATGCGACGCCGCACGAGCTTTGGCGAAACGAAAAGCCTTGTGTCGCAGACCTGAAGTGAGCCACCCGAACTCAAGACTTCGCCAGGAAGTGTTTCCCCGGTGCACTTTCTTCGTGAGCTCGCTGCTCTCGCCATCTCTGGTTCGCAAACCTCAATCACTCTGGCGATTACGCCATTTGTTACAGTCCACCGTCAAAGCATCTGTTTTGAGTCTTGGAGAGCATCACTTGTTGTGAGAGCCTCGAATCACCCTCATTATCCACCTGCACACGCCATTTATTATTTCACTCGTCAATCCCAACGGCCTGCACTAGACAAGGTTCTAGCAGCAAGGGAGATTCGCCACTCCCGAGCGTGTCGGAACGTTAGCTGCTTCTAGGGACAGGAAGCTGCTGGCTTAGAAACCCACTCTTACCTAATAGTGCGAGAGAGGGGTTTTCGTTTTGACCCTTAGGAGAAAAGTAGCAGACTAAATTCTTACGACACGAACTAGCTAGTTACCACGTTTTGAGCCTCGTTTTATTTCGTCCCGCTGTTCCGACATGGCGGCCGGCACGGCTAAGCTAGGCCGCTGCTCTTTTAGCGCATTCCTCGTCCTCCTCCTCCTCTCAAACCCGTCATGCGCGCAAGATGCATCATCATCTCAAGATCCCCCCACCCCACTACCCGACGACACAGGCGAGCTGGTTCAAGGCAAGGACCCCTCCATGTCCGCCTCGGATTTCCTGGCCGCGACACAGATCGCGCCGGATAAAATCCAGACGATTCGCATGCGAATCTACCAGCAGTTCGTCCAGAATCTCGCGATGCAAGGCGCGAGCACCGCCGCTCTCGGCGAAATCGTGAACCTCCCGCAGCCACCATTCACGAATATGACCCTCCAGCTTGTGAAACTGAGGCTCTCTTCACTCGTTGCGAACGGGTTTTTATTCCACGAGTTTTTCGTCCCGCCGGGGATTCAGGTTTCCACGAATTCGGAGCTGGTCGTTCTGCTGTACAACCAGATTCCGGTCACGTTTTCGCCGTACAGACCACCGGCTGGTTACTCGTATACGCCGTATTTCGCCGGGATCGACATCCTTCCGTTCGTGAACGACTCGACGCAGGCTCCGGGGCCGCTGCTCGTGCGATCGAGCCCGTCGTTACCAGTAACTGTTACATTCCCTTTGGACGATTCCCAACATAAATTCGTGCAGTGCACGACTTTCGGCATCCGTGGCACGCTCATCCCGCTCAACCAATCACAGGACAGCACGCCCACGCGAATCGTCTGCCAGAGCGTCACCCTAGGGGAATTCACCCTCACAATCGGCTCTCGCCCATTCCCTCCGCCTCCGCCCCCGCCACCCTCCCCGCCGGTCTCCCCCCCTCCGCCGCAAAACCCCGACCCTCTTCCGCCTCCTCCCCCCGCGACTCCTCCCGCCGACAACAGCGGCTCAAGCGGACTTACTATAGGTCTAGCCGTCGGGCTCGCGATACCGATTATTCTGCTGCTGCTGCTGGGCGCGTGGGTGGTGTGGCAGCTGCTGCAGCGCGGCCGCTACGAGAAGATGGAAATGGCGGCGGAGCGCGCCGCCAACCTCGAGACCGCGCTCATCGCGGGGCAGCGCGCGCCGTCCGCGCCCGCCGTGCGCACGCGCGGGGCGCTGGAGGACGAGGCTTGAAGCGGAGAAAAGGTTAGATGGGGGGAGCCGATGAAGGCAACAGGCGCCGACCGCGCGCACCGAGCGCAAAGGGAGGCCGCTGGAGGAGGGGGCGTGAGTGATGTGGCGCAAAGGAACAAGGGAATGGGGGGAAAATGAGGGGGAGAACGCTTTTGAGTCGACTCAAGAGCAACGGGCTGGAGGGAAGCTGAGGGGGAGAGGTGCCATGGCGCGAGAGGCGGAAGGCACCAGACGCTTACTGCCTCATCGCGGGACGAGAGGCGTCGTCTGCGCCCGCCGTGTGCACGTGAGGGGCGCTGCAGGACGAGGCTCGGGGACTGTACTGGGAAGCGGGGAGGAGAGCTAGGAGTGCACTAACAAGGGGGAGGGGAGGGAGGGGGGGAGGAGGGATGGGAGTGGCGGGTGGCCAGGGTGTAGAGGTAGGGGGAAGGGCGCGCGCTGCGCCTTATGCGCCGTCTGCGCCAGCAGGGGGAAGCAGCGGGGCGTTGGAGGATGAGGCGTGAGAGACTCGGAGGGAGGGGCAGGAGCGAGAGAGGGGGACGGGAGCGAGAGGGGGGGCGAAGGCGCATCTAATCAGAGTGGGTTTGGGGGTGAAGGTGAGGGGGACGTGGATTGGTGGGGGCTGCAAATTGGAATGTGCACGCTGAGAGGGGATGGGGCGACGACTGGGTGTGGGTTTGCGCTTGTCAGTGGATGCAGCGGAGGGAAAGGGACGGCTGCGCGCGGAAAAGAAGGGCGAACATGCCACTGAATGTCTTGTGCTTGTGGTGTGTGAGTGCTTTAGGATGGGAAAGGGGAATTTGGGGGGGTCGAGGGGGGGGGGGCGTGGGAAGGGGGAGGTGGGCGGGGAGTCTGGGTGAAGTATGCTGCTGTGTGTATGAGGGAGGCTGGAATGCAAGTCACCATTGCCTATCCAGGCAGCAGCAGGCAGTCTGTCAGATTTAGGGCCAGGAAGTCCAGAGGTTATCCCTCTGGTGTGAATGTTTACTACAGTACCCTCAGAATGCCGTGCACATCCTTGCAAAACAAAGGCTGAGGGTGAAAGATTTTGTGTTTTCTTACTTGCATTAGTGTATTTTGGCATGTTTTAGGTTTCACCAAACCTGAACACATAGCACAGTGCTGTAAAAACACTTGCATGCATATTCCAATACAGGCAGCACAAGTATGTTATATAGGAAATTCATCGAGTGACAAGTTTACTCAATAGCAATAACAATAATTCCGAACCTGTACAGAACCCCTCACGTAAGAAACACTCTTCAAGTGGCTACCTACCTACCAAGTAGAACTATAAGGGTCAGGAGCTGTTACGACCAGCAGGCGGATCAATGTCAAAAAATGCATCGGACCCAAAAGGTCCGTCCAACAGCATGTCAGAAAAATCTTCTGCTGAAAACACGTCAGCATGCGCTGTCGGAGGCAAGTCATGCGATAACAAGCCATGTGGACCTGTGATGTCCACGTCAGCATCAGCACAGGCGGTGTCACCATCAGGTCCATCTCCGCTGTGGCTGTCCTTGTCATGCTGCTCCTGCTGCCAGAGCGAGGGGAGAAAAGGGGGGATATAGGGAAGGGAGCAAACGGACGGGGGGGGGGGGAGGGGGGGAAGGTGGGGGGGGGGGGGGGGAAGATGGTAGGAGGATGTGGAAAGAGATGCTGGCTTGTGGCATGGATACTTGTGGCATGGATACTTGTGGCATGGGTACTTGTGGCATGGATACTTGTGGCATGGATACTTGTGGCATGGATACTTGTGGCATGGATACTTGTGGCATGGATACTTGTGGCATGGATACTTGTGGCATGGATACTTGTGGCATGGGTACTTGTGGCATGGATACTTGTGGCATGGATACTTGTGGCATGGATACTTGTGGCATGGATACTTGTGGCATGGATACTTGTGGCATGGATACTTGTGGCATGGGTACTTGTGGCATGGATACTTGTGGCATGGATACTTGTGGCATGGATACTTGTACTACCAGCAGACTGTGACCAAGAGAAACAAATCTCTGACGAAACGAGCGTTCACAAAACCAAGGCATGCAAGTGAGGCAGTAACCATAAGACAGTTACAGGAGGCGCAGAGCGGAGGTGTATAGGGTGCAAATCTCTTACCTCTTCAATCTCGTCGTTGCGTGCAAATCTCCCTCGCACTCGCGGCCGGCTATCTGCCAGATTCTTGCGGCACGCGTACTGCTCATGTGCATGGCAATGTTTGGAAACATGTGTGTGACAATGTCTGGAGTCAGTTGTACACAGCAACCCTTGCAAGCAGGCATGCATACATGAGCGCAATCACGGTCGGCAAGAGCGAAAGAAGGTATGGGGAAGAGAGGGAGGGAAAGTGTCAGGGAAAAGGGTGGATGATTCAAAAAGCAGGAGCACTGAATGCAAGGGCTCGAAAAGAAGGTGCTGGGAGGTAGCCGAAGGGGGGCTGAAGGGTCTGAGTTTGAGTTGAGGAGAGAGTAGAAAAGCAGCGGAGCAGCAGCCCACCTTGAATTTCTTAGTAAAGTTCCGCTCGTGCCTCTTCTGCCTGTACTTCATGATCCGATTGCTTCTATTTAAAGCACGATTACAGGAGCAGCAGAGAGGAAGGTAGCCAGCGCACCTTGATCTTTTTTGTGAAGTTCCGCTCATGCCTCTTCTGCCTGTACTTCATGATCCGCAGCCGCCGCTCCTCCAATGTATACCGCCCGATGCGAAACACCCCCATGCCCATGCCCGTGCCCACCCCCATGCCCATACCCCCCATGCCCAAGCCCATCCCCATGCTCCTCATGCCCATGGCCATGCTGATGCCCAGTCCCATGCTGGTAGGGTCATCAAAGGGGCCCATTCCAGCTGCTGCTGCGGCTGCTGCTCCTGCCGCTCCAGGCGGTGCTGGGAGGTGGCCGAAGCCCATGGCTAGGGAGCGCATTGCAGCCAGGGACTGGTGCGTTGGTGCATGTTGGGGGGCGGGAGGAGGAACAAGGGGGGGGAAGAGGGGGAGTGGTGGGGGGTAAAGGGGTTAAGGGAGGAAGGGATTCTGGGTGGTGCCCATGGCAAGCGAGCGAGCGCATTGCAGCCAGGGACTGGCGTGTTGGGAGGCGTGTGGCGGAAGAAAAGGGCGGAGAAGGGGCGGGGGGGAGAGGGGGGGGGGAGGGAAGGGGGGGGAGAGAGGGGGGGCTGTAAAGGGGATAAGAGGGGGAAGGGAATGAGATTCTAGGTGGTGCTGGGAGGTGGCCGACGCCCAGGGCGGGGGAGCGCATTGCAACCAGGGACTGTGTGTTGGGAGGGGGGAATTGGGGAGATGGTAAAGAGGAGAGGAGAGGAGAGGAGTGGGGACGAATGAGTATGGTTAACAATTCGTCCATCTGGCCGCCTCAGACCGAATGGCTAACGGAAAATTCCCCGTGCTACATGCCCCCTGTGCTACATCCCCCCTGTGCTACATGCCCCCCCTCACTGACCACCTGGCGCCCAGCGCTGCTGGGGCAAGCAGGGACAAAGAGGGTGTCAAACCTACTACTGTGAGCAGGCGGACAGTGAAACAAAGGGTGCACGGTGCACGGGAAAGCTTGGCTGGCACGGGTGAATCGGTCTGGGGCGAACCTGGATATCTCCTGTGCTGTGTGCTCGTCTCATGCTGCTGAAAGATGGCAACATTGGAGCCCCCATGCTCCCTCCCATCCCTGCTATGCCGCCCATGCTTCCCCCCATGCCTGTGAAATGCCCCCCGCCAAACCCTCCTCCTGCCATGCCTGCTGAGGTTGCTGCAGCTGCTGCTGCTGCTGCTGACACCCCTTCCCCTGCCGACACTGTCATCATACCCTCCCCCACCACACTCATGCCACCACCAGCACCACCACTACCACCAGCAGCAGCACTAGCACTGGCAGCAGCAGCGGGAGCAGGTCGTTGCCCCATCCCCCCTATCGCCCCACCTGCCCCTGCCACTCCGCCTGCTAGCCCCTCGCCCATGCCCATAACCCCGCCCTCTATGCCCACTGGCATGTGCTGCCCTGCTAGGTGCGCTGCTGCGGCGGCCGGGGGGAGGGGCGGGAGGCCGGGCATGTGCTGCATGTGCAGCTGACCTAGGGCATGGCTGCTGAAGCTACGCGGCATGCTCATTCCCATGCCCATGCCCATGCCCATACCCATGCCGCCCATGCCCATGCCCATGCCCATGCCTGCCCCCATGCCCATGGCTCTGCGAGCCCGCAGGATGGGGGACGGGAGGGGCTTCAGCTCATCCTCGTCACCATCACCAGTATCACCATCGCCACTGTCGCCATTGCTATGGTTGCCATCCCCATCCCCATCCCCATCGCCATCCCCGTCGCCATCATGGCTTCCCACATGCATGATCGGATTCGCCCCGCGATGCATGCTCTCTGCCCCATCAGCCGGTCTACCAGCGCCAGCAGCAACACCAGCTGCCCCCCCTCCTCCTGCTCCATCCCTCCCTCCGCCTGCCGCACCTCCCGTCTCTCCCCTCCCTCCCGCCCCTCCTGCCACCATTCTCTCCACCCTCCTACCCTGTGAATCCTCCCCATGGTCCCCCGTGCTCCCCTCCCCACTATTCGACCCTCCTGCACACCCATTTGCCATTCCCGAAACCGACCCTGCTACTCGCCCTGTGGCAGCTGCACCTGCGCCCTGCCTTGCCCCTGCGGCAGCAGCAGCACAGAGAGGGGCCACAGCAGACGCAACAGCACTGGCAGACCCAGCAGCAGCAGCAGCAGCAGCAGAGCTGCCAGTAGCACCTGGATCAGCAGACCAAACAGCCCCAGCACCAGGAGTGGGAATACCGACAGCATGAGCACCTCGTCCCACTGCCCCTCCTCCTCCTCCCCCCGCTCCTCCTCCCCCGCTCCTCCTCCCCCACTCCTCCTCCCCCCACTCCTCCTCCCCCTCCACCTGCCGCCCATCTCTCCATCTCGGCCACTCTTCTCTGCCACATGTGAGCGTCAAAGTGCCCGCCTGCTGGCGCCGGCCAATTGGAATGCAGCAGCTGTCCAGCAGAGGCAACTCGGCGCATTTTGGCATACGGGCCAGCAGCAGCAGCGGCAGCAGAGGCAGCAGCAGCAGCATTACCGCCAGCAGCGCCAGAGGCAGAAGCAGCGGGTACAGAGGCAACAGAGGGGGAGGCAAGCACAGCTCTACCCACACTCCCCACTCCCCCGGACCCTGAACCCACAGGTCTAGGCGATGGTGAGGGCATGGAGGAGCGAGGCGAGGGTGCTCCTGCTGACTGCGAGGGGGCGTTGATTGCTGGAGACGCCAGTGGCTGCATGACGCCTGCTGCTGACCGCACCACTGCTGGCGACACTGGGGGGTAGGAGCGCATGTTAGACAGCCCCTCGTGCAAGCTCACCCCTCGTCTGATGCCCACGGACGGCCGATGACACCCAGCCACCCCAGCACCCCCAGCAGCTCCTGCAAATCCTGTTCTCTCTGCTCTATGTCCGTACAGCTCGGCCTCCCAATCCGCCCCCTCTGTCTTCACTAACCCTCCTGCTGCTGCTGCTGCTGCAGAAGAGGCTGCTGCTGCTGTGGCTGCTTCCATTGCCGTTCCAGAGCCTGGAGCAGCAACAGGGCTGGTTTTCCCTGCTGCGCCCACAGCATCATCACCACCAGCAGCAGTAGCAACACCAGAACCCACACCAGCAGCAGCGGCGGTTCTGGCCCCTGCTGCAGCTGCTCTTGAAGGGCGCGCAATGCCAACGGGAAGGGCAGGTAAACCAGGCATGGCAGACACACCAGCGCCCACACTCCCCACTCCCATCATGCCCCCCGCCCCTATGCTGCCCGCCCCCATGCCCCCCGCCCCCATGCTCCCCACAGCAAGCGGCCGCGGGTATGCAGAACCAGAGGCGTTTCCAGGGAGCATGCCAGGAGGGAAGACGAAGGGGGGCGGCAGGCCTGGGAGGTTGGGCAGGCCGCGTAAGGAGGGGGGCATGATGGGGCGGAGAGCGGGGAGAGTGGCGCTATTGGTGTTGGCAGTTGGCGTTGGGTGAGACGCGGATGCCACTGTGGCACAGCTGTTGCCTGCTGCTCCTGATTCCCCTCCTCCTCTTCCTCCTCCGCCGTCGTGTGGCCTCTGCTGGCCTTCGTGCTGCTCTTGTTTCATCGGCTGATTGGTGGCACACCGCATGTGCCCTTGCCCCCCTGCAGTCATGTGCCCTTGCCCCCCTGCTGCCATGTGCCCTTGCCAGGACGCCATCTGAAAGGCTTGCGCTCTGGCCATGGCTTGCGCTGCTGCTGTTGCGTGCTGCTGTGCTGCTGCGTGCTGCTGTGCTGTTGCATATTGCTGCGCCGCTGCCGTGTGCTGCTGCGCTGCTGCGTGCTCGTGTGCCGCTGCATGTTGCTGTGCCCTCGCTTGCTGCTGCTGCTGCGTTACAGCTGCTGCCACCGCTGCTGCTGTCCCTTGCCTGCTCTGCCTGCTACTGTGGGAGACTGATGGGCTCACCACTCGCCTTCCCTCCTGCACTTGACACGCAGAGGCAGAGGCAGAAACTCCAGAGGACGTCACACGCTGTTGCTGCTGCTGCTGCTGGCGGTGGTGATGGTGAAGCTGATGATGCTGCTGCTGTTGGTGGTGGTTGTTCAGCTGTGGCATGCCGTGGGCGTGGTCAGAGAGTAGCGGCTTGCACGGCGAAGGAGGCGACGAGCTCATTGTGTGGCTGTCATTCGACCCTTGAGGTGATGACTTGGCAGCAGCAGCGCCTGCCACGCACACCCCTTCGACCCTCCCCCCTTGCTGTCCCCCTGCTCCTGTAGCACTCATGTGGTTACCAGCGCTCATGGTGTTACCATCCCCAACCCCAGCTCCATAGACATCGCCGTCCTCCATATGAGCAGGCTCAAAGACCCGTTTTAATTTTGACATGGCGCTTGGGGTTCGCGCCTTCCTCGTTCCACCATCTCTATCACACTCCTCTAGCCCTGCTGTCCTCCCCCCAAGCGCCTTTCCCCCTCCTCCCTGCCGGGCTTACACATACCAGAGCATGCGTTACCACCTGCGCAACACATCCCTGCACCTGCCACCGAACCTGGCACCGAGCCTGGCATCGAGCCAGGAGCTGCCAAACCCACCGAACCAGCTCCAGCAGCTCTGAGAACGGCACCACTCGGAGCAGCGGCGGGTGCAGACGCACCGACAGCAGAACCACCAGCCGCAGCAGCAATACCACCAGCAGCAGGAATAGACTGAAGGGCAACGCGGGCGTCGCTGACATGCCCATAGGACTTAAAGACCATGTCGGCCGACTGCTCGTGATGGCTGGGCGGGGGGATGGCGTCTTGCGGCTCCAGCACGACCAAGGCACCGTTCGAGGCAGCGCTTGTACTGGCGTTAGGACCGGCCAGGCCGTTCAATGCGGCGTTCATGGCGGCTAATCCGTCCTCCGCCAGGCCCATGTCGCCTATGGCGTCGAACGTGATGCTCTGCGACGGGAACGGGGAAGGGGAGACAGGCGAAGGGGGAGGGGGAAGGGGAGACAGGGAAGGGGGGAGCGGAGCGCATGGGGGAACGAGCATGAACGCATTCAATTCTTACGAGCCAGTCCGTCTCCCGTCAGGCTGATGTCGCCCATGGCGCCGAACGTGATGCTCTGCGACGAATGGAGGAGAGAGAGACGGATGGGGAAAGACGAGCGCAAGCGGAAAAAACAGCACAAGGGGAAAGAGCAGCACGCAGGGACAAGAAGATAACGACGACCGACGACGTGGAGGAGGTGAAGTCATGGTGACACGGTGATGGCTGAGTGGGATGAAGGGCGACTGGTAAGGCAAGGAGAAAAAACTGGGGGAGAAACAAGGGAAGGGTGGCCGACGCGTTCCTCGCATAGCCGAAGATAATGAGGAGAGGGAACGGACAAGGCTAGGAGAGCAACACGAGGAGCCCAAGGTGAGGGGGAGAGACGAGGTGAGAAAAACCGAGCAGGGGAAAACGGGGTGTGGGAACAAGGTGGGAAAGAAGTGGGGGGGAGGGGGGAGGGGGAAGGAACAAGCAGGAGGACGACAAGTTGGCTGAGAGTGGTGCGTGAGTGCATCGTGCGACGATAGGGCGACAAAGCTAGTGCCAATATGACAATAGCAGCTAATTGTGGCAGTAACGGCAATTTCTGACTGTAAGAGTTTGTTGTGACTATAACGGGCATACATCGAAGTCCGTCATGGAGAATATGGCGTCGTCAAACTCCCCTTGGAGAAAATCCGCCTTCGCCGAATCAGCCATGACTACTGACGAAGCTTCGGGAAAACGTGATAAGGTATATAAAGATCAAGCTGTCAAGAATAAGGATCCCTGAATGGTAAGGTCTCTGAACGACAAGGGGCTCTGAATGATAAGGAGCTCTAACGATACCGAATTGTGAATGATTAGAACCTCCGACTAATAAAAGCCTCGCAACAATAAGGAGCTCCGTCTGGTAAGGAGCTGGTTGAATGGTAAAGGGGACCAGGAAGGCTTCTAAAGCTTTAACAGCTTCGCCAATTGAAAGGCGGAAGCGCCTTATGATGCTTATCAAAAGGCTGACAGCAGAACGGCCTTACGAATTTAACAGCGCGTGTCAGGGAGAGACACTGAAAGAACGGACGCTATTAGGACGGGTAAGAAAGATTCTCTCTAAAATTAGACGCTAGAACAGGAGCGTCACGCCGTCTCATGAGGACGTCGTGACATGAGTGAAGAAAGTTATTCAAGTTCTTAGAACCTTGAAAGCCACTTCCAGCAGCCTGCAAGCCCTGACCCCTTTCCGCGGCTCTGAAAAGTTTTTTTAGCTCCAACCCCAACGACAGCGACACCCCATTGGCAGAAGCAGCGAACAGGACAACTGCAGAAGAAGCAGGAGGAAAGGAAGAAGATAGAACATTCTTTGCTAAGGGGCTGTTCACCAGCACTTAATCAGCGGAGCAGAAATAAATTCGTCAGTCTTCGCCAGGGGTTCAATACGACAGCCCTCGTTACCTCGTCACCTCCCTCGATTTTGTCATGGGCTTCCGTTTGGCGAACAAAAGGCTCGGGCTCACCTTGGAAACTGCAATTGGAGTTCCCAAAAAGTCCCATTTTCACAGCATTGAAATATTCGCATTGGGTCAATTTCACTTGTTTCAGCAACATCCGCCAAGCGTATCTGCGTTTCCTGAAACGAGACCTTCGCGTTGTGTGTCCCGTCCACTGTCCACTCGAGGAAGGCAGTCAGGCAGACAACACTGAGGTACAACGATGCCACATCAGCATCTCGCTTTCGTCATCATCGTTCCCCTCCGCCACGAATCTTGTCAAAGCTGGAATGATGGGGTGAGGAGGAAGCTGCTGTGACTCAATTGCAATCCAATGCAGCCAAATTGAGCTGTTTCTACAGTGGAGTCACTGAGGCTGCCGCCGAATCAGCGATTCGGGCTTTGGGAAAGGTTGGAAAAACGGGTTGTGATTGGCTGACTGGCGAATCCCGTGTGCGGTCGAGAGCAACTGAAGCCTTTCTGACAAATCAGTCACCTCCTTGGTGACAACTTCCCCATCGGTCATAGAAAGCAGGTTCCATCTAACTGGTAAATGGATACCCATCTACAACTGCATTATTGTAGGAAATTCCTATGTATGCTTTAGGGGTTTGCAGCCACAACAGCTGAACGGAAAGGGGGTTTATAACTTGCCAGACATAACCAGGAAGAAGCCAGCATCATTGCACACCAATCTGAGCCTCCCTCTCCTTCACAAGTTTGGCATACTCCTCACGACTCGATGCGATCAGTTGCTTCACGGTGTCATACGTTGTCAGGCGAATACTGCCAACCAAGAGGGGAAACAGGCAGTCAAAAGGTTAAGCATGTCAGGGGGCAAGGACGAAATTTGGAGCGAGCCACAAACATGAGATGAGAAAAGCAGCTACCCATACCATGACAGAATCAAAATCGAAGGCCCCAAGCAATAAACCAGCGACAATAGCGGCACGCACAGGTCAACGGCCCAAGCAAACCCACCTGCTGTTAGGGAGGTTCTTGAGTGCATTGGCAATGAAGCCGCGGTACAGCCCGACCACGCCGTCACGCGCAATGATGCCGGGGATGGCGTCAAACACCGAGTTGAAGGGCGACCCCTTCATCTGCATCTGCCGCCGCACCGTGTCCAGCGGGTAGCACATCACCGTTGCGAAGGTCGTCGCACAGAGAGCAGTCACAAAGGACGCCTGGGGGGTCTTGCGGTACTTCTCAGGGATGGAGCGCTTGATGCTGAAGGGGGGGGGGGATAAGGGGGGTTTAGAACATCATAAGTTGCTCCCTGTCCAGCGGGTAGCACATCCCCGTCGCAAAGGACGTGGCGCAGAGAGCCGACACAAAGGACGCCTGCGGGGTCTTGCGGTACTTCTCAGGGATGGAGCGCTTGATGCTGAGGGGGGGATGGGGGGGGAGGGAGGGGGGGGGGGGGTGTGAGAGGGAGTGGACATGGGTGGGTGGGAGCGGGATGCGAGGACGAAGGCGATGCAGGGCGCGATGGAGTGAGACACCTCTGACAGATGCCCGCATGAAAAGTTTTGGGGCTCTCAGGTTAAAGGCGTAGATGTTGTGGGCGGTGTGGGGCACAATGGAGATGAGGGAGGGGGGATACGAGACAGGTCAACAATATGCTCACAGGGCAAAGGCGCACAGCAGGCTAGCAGCCCACTCACAGGTCGAAGGCGCAGAAGTTGAGGGCGATGTAGGGCGCGATGGAGATGAGGGAGGGAGCGAGGCCCTTGTAGAACGACAGCACGCCCTCCTCGCGGATCATCCCCAGCGCCACGGCGCGCATGCTCCTAGATGCCGGGTCCACCGCCAGGCGCAGGCGAAGGACATCGAGCGGGTAGGTGATCTGTAGGGGGTGGCAGGGTAGGCGGCAGGCGGAACGGAGGAGGGGGAAAAGGGGGAACGGGGGAAGGGGAAAAGGGGGAACGGGGGAAGGCATGAGGACAGCACGCCCTCCTCGCGGATCATCCCCATGGCCACTGCACGCATGCTCCTGGACGCGGGGTCCACTGCCAGGCGCAGACACAGCACGTCCAGAGGGTAGGTGATCAGTAGAGGGAGCGATTCGGGGAGTATGGGGAGAGGGGGGGGAGTTGATGTGGGGAAGAGGAGGCGGAGAGAAAGGGGGGGGGGGAGGTGGGGAGAATGGGCAAGTGCTGGTGGCGTTCAGGAAACACTAGAGTCATGATCTGTGGCATCTCACCCATCACAAGGGCGGCAGCACATGTGAGAAATGAGCTCATGACTTCTCATCCACCGCATCGGAATTACATCGTGCCAGCAAGCACATACCAGTGTTGACGTCATGCCAGCACATGCGCCAGCTGCCAGCCTGGCAGGCACCGAGAGCTCCTCGTTCTTGCCGAGGAATGCCTTCTGCTCCACCCCATACCCGTTATAAGCAAATGCGGATAGACAGGGGAAAAGGAAAGACAAACAAGCAAAAACCATGGTTTGACTCTAGCTGAAGGGTTTGAGCGGCAAGGAAACGGCTTGCATGTGAAACGCCTTTGCGTACTTCAAGATGAAACGGAGATGAAACGCACCTTGTACATTTCGTACGCGAAGAGCTGAACTGCACTGTAGGGGATGATACGGATGACCTGAAGAAAGGGGAAACGGGGGGGGTTGGGGGGAGGGGGGGAGGGGAGGGAATCAGTGTGTTGAAAAGAACCTGAAGAGCCATGGTGTGCGTAACAACAGCATTTACGTTTACACCTACTATATGTGCAAACAGAAGTCTACAGACCAAGAGCTATAGCCACACCAGAAACAATGCCCACCTAGATAACGCCTACACCAGTTATCACCTAGAGCACGCACCTGCGGCAAGTTACCCTTCCAGTAGCCCAGCACGCCCTCCTTTTGCCCGATCGCCAGAAATGACTGCCGCCGACCAACACGGATGCGCAGATTGACGCGGAGTGGCGCGGTTTGGCGCGGATTGCAAGCCGAGCGGAAGGGGTGTGCAGACAGGGATAACAGGAGAAAGAGGGGAGGAGATTTATGGAGGAGGAGGAGGAGACGAGGCGAGAATAATTGCCCGAGCGACAAGAGTACTACCGGGCGCAGACGAACGCACTATGGGGCAAACCGGGACAGAGCAGTATCAGGCAGCCGTCTCGCCAGACCATTAGTGAACGCCACGAAGCATGAACGAAACAATGACGAGACATTGCGACATTGGCGAGACATTGCGACATTGGCGAGAACATTGCGACATTGGCGAGAACATTGCGACATTGACGAGGCATTGCGACATCGGCGACGAAACCATCGGCACTCACGTCAAGCAGCCCGACCGGCTTCGCAGCGACGTCTTGAGGCACCTGCACGCTGCGCACCTGCGGCACGAGGAGGGGGGGAAGGCGGGGGGGAAAGAGGAGGGGAAAGGGGAGGGGAGGGGTGGGTGGGTGGGGGGGGGAGGGGAGGGGGGGGTTGGTTGTTTTGAGGGTCTTTGATAAAGGGTAGACGAGTGAACAGCGACGTCTCGAGGCACCTGCACGCTGCGCAATTGCGGCACAGGGGGTGGGTTGTGATGGGGGGAAGTTGGGCGGAGGGAGAGGGGAAGAGGGGAAGAGGGGTGGGAAGGGGGAGGGGGGGGAGGCGCGTGGGGAGGGGAAAGGCGCAAGGATTGGTCACGTTGTTCGCTCATGTAACAATTTAATGCACTTACTTTTGCTGTTTCTAACATACCCTGACTTAACGTTTACACCCTCCGCCAACCCCCCAACCACTCGTTTCCCGGAGAGCAGCACGTCGTTTAGTCGTTAATAACTTTTAATTGTTATTTTTTTCCGTTAAGCTCTCCCCTCTACCGGCCCACCTACCTGCAGCATGAGCTTCCAGCGGTCCAGCGGCGCGGTGACGGTCTTCGCGGTGCCGCCAGCGACGGCGCCGGCGAAGAAGAGCGCCGCGTCCTTCGGGATGAAGCTGAACAGCGCGATCGGCTTCCGCAGGTACTGCGCCAGTGTCGGCTTCACCGCGTTACCCGCCGCATCCGCCGCCGCCGATGCCGCTGAAGGAGCAGCTCCGTCCTTTATCTCCGGGGCTTTAGACGCGGGTGCTTTTAGCGAATCGGCAGCGACAGCAGCGAAAGGGGGGCTGGAAACGAATTGCACTGTTCCGACCGCGCTGCGGGTCGATCCTCGCCTTCGCATTGGCCAGTGTACAGCAGGCTGAGAAAGTTCTAGCTGCGCTGCATTTGTCGTTTTCTGACGCAGTTGAACCTTCCCCAGTTGGGACTTGACGAATCGGTCAAACCGCTGCTTCTGCTGATCGACGGCATTCTGGAGGGAGGAAGTGAAAGCCGCGGGATCGAATCCTGGAAGAGTCAACGCGAAGCCAGGACCATCTCTCCCGTCTAGATCGGAGAAATGGGACGCCTGGGAGGCGCTGCTGATACGCCGAACCATTCCTTCTTCGCGCCTTTCACACTAATTTCACAAATTTCACTGCAGTTGACACGTCTAGAAAATGTATCGTTCAGGCGGCAAAAAAAAACCACGGAATCAAGAGCGAGGAAGGCAATGACAGGGGAAAGCAAAAGTCGGACGAGGCAGGCTTAGGAGCCTAATTAAATCGCGAGGGGGAAATGGCGCTATGGAGAGTGGGTTGTGAGGTGGAAGGGCGGTGACCAGAAGAGGCATGAGGAGAGTGAGACTGGCCAAGGGTTTTGCTCGCTAAAACCACTGAGAAGGCGGACTGCAAGGGAAGGGATAATTGCAGTACAGAACGCATCCACTGTAGTCAATGGCGGACT